TAGTAGGAGTATTCTGTCAGTGAAGCTTAGAACCACTTATCAGCTGCTACCTAAAATTTAGCATTTAACTTTAATTATGCCTGGTTATGAATTAGGCAAAACAAGAAGTATTCTAACATGACCAGCTGCTGCAGATCGAAATAGTTTCACAGTAGAAATTTTTATTTTTTTTATTGTTCTTTTTTTGATTGTGTAATAAGCCCCTTCTTAACAGATTAAATGTCACAAAAACTAAAATGTAATGACATTAGCCAGCTAATCTGTCTGCCCCAACTCCCTTAAACACCTAGGAACAAAGCATACTAATATGGTCATAAGCCAAACTTCCTCTGAGAAGCCTAGACTCTTTCAGAGCCCCTGTGGGGCAGAAGCAGAATTCTTATATCATAGTTAGGTTTTGGTGGTATTCACTTTCCTTTTCATTATTATCAAGGTAACTGTGTCTAACACTGAACCAGAAGAAAATGTCCTCACATGATCCTTATCTGATTACCCTTTCCCAAAAAGAAGACATCAGCGATTGTGTGGGTTAACTTAAAAGAAGAGGTGAGCATGCTCCTGGTTCATGAAAGGGAATGAGCTTTCATCATCTGCACATGATCAGCAGGCATCAAAATCTGTTCCTTCAGAACATTATGAAGACATGGGCCTGCCCATTTGAAGCTTACTTTTTAATCTCAGGAGAAGTCATATAGTACATGATGAAAGAGTGCATCAGTCGCTCAGAGGGTAGAAGGTAGGATAGAATACAAGATGAGCAGGTGTTAGCTGGATTAGCAAATTTTCCATACAGAAAGAAAAAATGAGGCTGGGCATAGTGGCTCGTGCCTATAATCCCAGCAATTTGAGAGGCTAAGGCACGTGGATCATTTGAGCCCAGGAGTTCAAGACTAGCCTGGGAAACATGGTGAAACACCTTCTCTACAGAAATACAAAAAATTAGCCAGGCATGGTACTGTGTGCCTGTAGTCCCAGTTACTTTGGAGGTTGAGACGGGAGAATAACCTGAGACTGGGAGGTTGAGGCTGCAGTGAGCCAATACTGCATGACTCCACTCCAGCCTGCATGACAGAGTCGGGCTCTGTCTCAAAAAGAAAAAGAAAAAGCGACTTGGGGAATGAAATAAAAATTCTAACCCAACTCTCGCCATGTCAGAAGCAATGTGAAAATTCATTTTGTCAATTTAGAAATCAGTAAGTCACCCAACCCAACCAGTTTGACTGAAATGACTAGAAGAACAAAAATGGCTAAAGAACAATCCAGTAACTGAGGAAGAGAGAGTCTCAATTTCTGCTCCAACTCGGATCCAGTTCAGTCGCTCATTGCCATGGCTGGGCAGGGATCCAAGTGGAACTTTAACAGTGGCCAAAAAGGTGGCATAGGGTTACTGCCTCTAAAAACCACAACTTGTCCCTAAGCTTGAAACTCTATGCACATAAACTCCCTCAAATCCATCTGCACAAGCACCATGTTTTAAAGCAGCCCACTCTCCTCAAACTTGAATTGGCCTGCAGAAGACAGGCATGCCAACTTCAATGACTCTGCTCTGCATCACTCTCAAGGTTGCCAAATTTAGGCAGAAACATCCATCCGCCTTCCCGTAGCCTTCTAAAATCTGTCTACAGTGTAATGAGTTGTCTTTACCCTTTGGCTTGGCCCAGTGTTGGTAACCTTATTGTCTATTCGATGCACAGAAATAGAGCACACACCAACCTCAGCCATAGGCTCCTGTCTCTGCCTAGTTCAGGCACAGTACTGGCTAACTGAGATCTCTCATTAAAAACACAAACACCAACACCCAGTGTACGTCAGATGCGTTTGGGCTGGCAATCCTTTTAACACAGTTGCTTACAGGAGCAGTTCTTCAACACTGATAACAACCAGCAAAACAACCTCAGCATATGTTCCGCCCAGATAATACAGGAGACCCTTAAATTTCTCAAGTTAGAAAACTCAGGCCAACAGCAAGATGGTGTTAGAGACTGAGATCTGTGTCAGTCAGATATCAGCCTTGCTGCACAGAAAGATGTGCTTGCTGCCTCACACGTGGCTTTGGTGGCAACTCCAAAGGCCAACACATTCACTCTCGGAAGACAGTGTCAACTGTCCTGACACTGCTGCTGGCCACATCTAACCAACTCTGTGTTGTGGTACCAGAGCCCAGGAAATATATCAAGCCAGATCGTTCTGTCCAAACTTCCCAAAGAAACATGTGCCTTGGACAGCACCCGAGTGGGAACAGGCTGCTAATGTTGATACAAAATGCAAAATAGTGAAAGCACCATTTTCCCTAATTTACTATTCAGTGAGAATCCCAAGCAGAAATCCAACATAGCAAATTGTAGAGGTTCAATGCTCCCTTATCTGCAGTTAAGCCAGGTGTGCCACCTCCTTCATCTGACTTGGATCCTGCTCTGGACTTTAAGGAAACACCTTCCTGGCTAGCAGTTCAAGGATTCAATATAAAAATAACTCATGCTTTGTTTCCCCAGCTACTCGGGAGGCTGAGGCAGGAGAATTGCCTGAACCCGGGAGGCGGAGGTTGCGGTGAGCCGAGATCGCGCCATTGCACTCCAGCCTGGGTAACAAGAGCGAAACTCCGTCTCAAAAAAAAAAAAAAAAAAGTCACTGTCTTGACTAGCAGATCATGAGGTAGTAGACGAGGCAGTCTCACGACCTCCCGTCAAGAAAGCCGTGATGAGTAAACAAGACGAGCATGGGTTATGAGCAGCATTTATACACCATGTGAGGAGATCCACATGGCACTACCGGAGAAGAAAACCAATGACCAGACCAATTTCACACAGCTTCTTCAGAAATGGAATCAAGAGACAAGATGCAGACTTAGAGCGAAGAAACTTCTGTAGGAATTAGAGGGATCTAAAGGAGTTGTGTATTTATTGCATTCTGTAAAGCCGGAGTAAAGGAGATAATTAAGGTCTTAAATAATCCAGTTTCTTAGTCACCAAAAGTACCAAGACTTCCTCCTATTGATGAGGCTGAAGGCTCAGTTTAAGCTGTTCTCTGCCATCCGGCCCCTGCACCCGGGAGACTGAAGCCACTCTGGACATTTATCACGCTACCACCAGTGAGATTTGCGCTCATTCTTTACAGCCTATGCTACAGCAATCATGACTGCTTTTGGATAAGGCAAACGTTCCTTAAACAATATACCCATGGTATTTTTCTTTTCTTGTTACTACATTGCCCAACAAAAAGAGCCTCTTTCCAACCTCACTGAGTTTGCCCTCTACATTCTAGAATAAGTGAAACTGGATCATTCTGAGAACTATGTTGTGGAAAGCAAATATTCTAAATTTTAAAGAGCACACTTTTTTTTTTTTTTTTTTTTTTTTTTTAAGACAGAGTCTCACTCTGTTGCCCAGGCTGGAGTGCACTGGCATGATCTCAGCTCAAGTGATCCTCCTACCTCAGCCTCCCAAGTAGCTGGGACTATAGGCATGTACCCATACTCAGCTAATTTTTGAACTTTTTGGAGAGGCAGGGTTTCACCAGGTTGCCCAGGCTGGTCTCAAACTCCTGGGCTCAAGGGATCTACCCACCTCAGCCTCCCAAAGAGGACACATTTAGGATAGAACCTGAGCATAATTTTGTTCTGGAAAAGGACAGAAATGGAGGAAGGGACAGGAAAAAAAAAAAAAAAAAAAACAAATAAAACCCAGCAGCTGATGAACTCACCAGCAGCAGTGAGTTAGGTTCTGTCCCACCTCCACGCTTCTAAGTAAATAAAATTTATTTTATTTTATTTTGAGATGGAGTCTCACTCTGTTGCTCAGGCTGGAGTGCAGTGGTGCAATCTCAGCTCACTGCAACCTCTGCCTCCTGGGTTCAAGCGATTCTCCTGCTTCAGCCTCCTGAGTAGCTGGGATTACAGGCATGTCCCACCATGCCCAGCCAATTTTTGTATTTTTGGTAGAGAAGTGGTTTCACCATGTTGGTCAGGCTGGTCTTGAACTCCTGATCTTGTGATCCTCTCTCCTTGGCCTCCCAAAGTGCTGGGATTACAGGTGTGAGCCACCGTGCCCAGCCTAGCAATTAGTTTTATTATCAGCCCTCACTGTTTAAATCTTAGCAGAGAAAAAGAAAAGCTGCCTAAGAGAATAAAATTAAGGAACATAAAGGGGAAAACTTGATTATCACTGGTTTCTGGATTTTTAGTTTTCTTCTTCTACCTGAAGTTCACTCAGATCTAGGGAATAGCATTAAGCTTAAAGTGAAAGTGGGAAAAAAGGTGGCACATTAAGGTGGCAGGTAGCTGTAACGAAAGGGGAAAAATGTAAAAGAAGCGTTTTTAAACCGTAGTAAGCTTTCCCTGAGAGTGATTCCTTTTATAAGGAAGAGACTCCATGAAAATGCAGCAAGGAGGCTGGTCCGTGGAGCACCAGAAAGCTGGGGAACTGCAGTTTTCATGCTTATTCTCTGTCTTTACCACTCTGGCTCAACTGGGGCAGAGAAGCTGTTTTATCTTCCTTGGGCATGGGAGAGGGAAGAAGAAGGGGTGAATATGACTGAGTTTTTAAATCAGCACCTTACAGGGTTATTTGGTAAACTGGTATGACATCTGTAAAATGCCTTGAGTGACTAGGAAACAAATCAGAGGCAAAATAAAAAACATGATAAAAAAAATAACACCGAACATCAGAGAATTGAAGGGAAGAGGAATGAGTCATTGAAAAACAGTGACACCAATTGTCCAGGTCACCAACAGCTTCCTGGTGCTCCCTCACCCCACAGTCTGCTGTAAGCTCTTTCACCTAGAATGACCCTAGAGGATGGCCTACTGGGGCAAGGGACCTAGCACTGGCTCTTATTCACAGCTACCACCACATCCCAAATTACCCCACCAGAACAGATGCCAGGGGACACTAGAAGTGAGTACTTAGGATACATTTTTTGAAACACCTTCTACACTGAGAGAAAGAGATTTAAACCAATAGTATATCAGTTGAAATATATCTGACAATAATAACAAAGATGCATTGACCTATAAAAAGTCATTTAATGCATATTCCAGATAGCCAATACAAGCTGGTTAGGTAATTAGCCCTTGAAGGATTCTTTTATAGTCATATAAAAATGTTTTGTCTTGTTAAAAAAAAAATCTAGTCCAACAAAATCATATCCACCAATGGGCTTGCATTTTTTTCCATTTGCAGGTTTGCGAGATCATAAAAATACATACATATGCATCTCTGGGTATATCTCTGTCTGCTAGCTAATCAGTTTTGGCAATACACTGCATAGAGGTATACTACCATTGGTTTCTGACATTAAGTTAGCTTTAAGCTTATTGGCTATTCCAACGACCGGAGGCAGCTTAGAACCCAATCCCTGGAAAGCACTTGTAGGATTAACTACACGTTTCCCTGACACCTTGTCTATGGTGGCGAGAGGTCTGGGGACAGACTTGCTAATCCAAGGGTGTCTTAACGCTTGAGCTGGGGTCAGGCGGGCAGAGGGGTCCCAGTGAAGACACCTTTTCAAAAACTCTATAAACAAGTAGTCATCACATCCTTTCAGTGCTGTCCCCCAGTCTTTGCTGCCTGGGGGACCCCGCTTTTTACCCCTACGTGAGCGACCCCCCACAAGCACAACCCTTCCATCTGCCTGAGTAGTCACGGAGCAGTAGCGAGGTATACCCTTGGAGTTAATAAAGTACTTGGCACGTTTGGATTGCTCCAGAAGTTTTGGTGGTGGCATCCCTAGAAGCTCCATCATGCAGGCCAACTGGTCTCCTTCATCCTCTCCAGGGAAGAGAGGCTGTCCTGTTAAAAGTTCTGCAAGGATGCAGCCAAAACTCCATATGTCAATAGGTGTGCTGTAGCGGCTTCCTAAGATGATTTCTGGAGCTCTGTAGAACCGAGACTGGATATATGTGTAAAGCTTCTGGTACTCAAAACAGCTAGACCCAAAGTCAATGACCTTAGTCGAACTGCGCCCGTGGTGTTTCAGGAGAATGTTTTCTGGCTTTAGATCACAGTGAATAATCTTATTTTTGTGGAGGGCATCCAAGGACTGCAAGATGGACTGAGCAAACTTGCGTACTAACTGGACGCTAAAACCCTGAAACTTGTTTTTTTTAATCAGCTCATAAAGGTCCATGCTCAGCAGTTCAAAGGCCATGCAAACATGGTTTCGGAATGTGAAACTTTCCAGCATGTGGATAACGTTCATACTACCAGTTTTATCCTGTTTTTTAAGATGCTCCAAAATCCGGATCTCCTCGGCTGCTTGGCGATGAAAGCGCTTCTCGCTGCGCACCATTTTTAGGGCCACGTACTGTCGGAGTTTGTGATCATACACCCGGGCCACCTGCCCAAAGCTCCCCTTACCAATAATCTTCAGCACCTCATATCGATACGCTAGATGGTCTCGAGGTACATGGATATAGGCTCCGTCTGCATCGTCATAACCCCCATTATTAGGACCACCAATAACTCCGTGTCTTTTTTTGGCATTTGGACCTACAAAGTAAATTTCCGGATAATTAGTGATTTCCAGCTTCTCATAGGCAGTGAGGTGGTTTTTATATTGCTTCAGGGCTTGTTCCGGAGTCAGAGGCACCACTTTGGGTGCCTTGGATGAACTGCTGGGTTTTACTGTTTTCAAGCTAACTGTAGGAGAGCATTTTTCAGAGTCACTGATACCATCTGACTGAATAGTATTGGATTTTCTGTTGCCAAATTCTTGAAACAGCTGTTCTACCTTCATCTCACCTCCATCCAAACAGTGCTGAGTATGATCTCTTGTAAACTGCTCAGTGGTCATCTATTAAAGAGAAAATGAATCCAATGTTAAAGTCATTAAAACATGAGAAAGATGGAATAATCCTCCCTCCTCCGACTGAATAACAAAACATGTCCAGTCATGTTTATTTTAAAGTTGAGATGACTCAAAAAGGAGTTAAGAAAAGCAAGAGTCTCTAGCAACTTGTGCTATTTAGTTTTCAGACTCCCTGAATACTGCAGCCATCCCTGATCCCCATACACGCCTTGCTTTGTTCAAAACAAGATGGTCTTCCCACGCCCCCAACATGCCAGGTTCCTTCTTATAGATGTGTCCTTGTACTGAGAATCCTTCCACCCCCTCATCCCCTCAACTTCTACATTCCTTCAAAGCCCAATTCAGTTCCTCTCTCTTCCACTTAGAACTACTCTGAGACCATACTAATTAACTTCACATCCTAACTGCAGCTTCTCCAGCTTGTTCCCCATAATTTGGTATTTGATTATGTATAATACATGCACTGTCTTGTACTGTTTACTAATTGCTTTGAGTATCTTCCCAAATCTTAATGGCATGTAGCATGATCAAAATAATGCATACGGAAGTGTAAACAAGAAGGTACTATCAAGTGACAGAAGCAGAATTTGAACCTAGGTCTTCTGGCTCCTATTCCAGGGTCCTTCCCATTGACATAGCTCAGCACCAGGTTCTCCTAGTACCTGTAGACTAGCAGAGCTGAATGCTCACTATGGCCTGGAATCAACAAAGTGCTCAATCATCTACTCCCAGGCCCCCATATAAATTACTGCAGCCTTTTAACTCAGTTCATTGAGTCACAAAAGCTCTAAGTTAGAGAGAACTCTTGGGGTCATGTGGACCAATTCTTCAAGTACCTGATAACAGTGAGGATCCAAGTTCCTGGGGTGCTTCTTATAAAACTCTTCCCCAGCAAGAGCCTCTTTGATAAAGGAGTACTACTCCTTAGTGAATAAGTTCGGCACAACCTTTTCCTAGAAGGGATAGTGACCCACAGAAAAAAGCTCTACTTACTCCTGTGAATTAAGATTCTTTTAATTGAAACAAAGTTTTTTGAAATAAGACAGAGGAAAAGAAGGACAAAAACAACCAAACACCTAAGTAAAATTAGTATTAAGAAAAAAGGGTAACTATGTGACATGATAGGTATGTTTCATTGGCTTGACTGTAGTACCATTTCACTGTGTATATCAAAACGTCATATCGTACACATTACAAAATACAATTTTTTGGTCTCACACCTATAATCCCAGCACTCTGGGAGGCCGAAGCAGGTGGATCACCTGAGGTTAGGAGTTCAATACTGGCCTGGCCAACATGATGAAACCTTGTCTCTACTCAAAATATAAAAATTAGCCAGGCATGATGATGCACGCCTGTAATCCCAGCTACTTGGGAGGCTGAGGCATGAGAATTGCTTGAATCCGGGAAGTGGAGGTTGCAGTGAGCCAAGATCATGCCACTGCACTCCAGCCTGGGCGACAGAGAGAGACCCCATCTCAAAAAATACATAAAATTAAAAATTAAAAATTTGGTTAAACATGGTGGTTCATGCCTATAATCCCAGCAGTTTGGAAGTTTGAGACCAGCTTAGCCAACATGGCAAAACCCCACCTCTTCTAAAAAATACAACAACAAAAAAAAAGCCAGATGTGGTGATGCATGCCTGTAATCCCAGCTACTCGGGAGGCTGAGGCAGGAGAATAGCTTGAACCTGGAAGGTGGAGGCTATAGTGAGCCAAAATCAGGCCACTGCATTCCAGCCTAGGCAATGAAGTGACAGACTGTCTCAAAAAAAAAAAAAGAAAGAAAGAAAAAGAAACAAGTGAAAAATATTAAGAAGGGGCTGCAAAGATAAAAATGTTAAATCTGTTGTTAAAAATAAAAGGAAGCGTAGGATACTTAAAAGAACAGCTATTTTTCTCAATGGACCCTGAAAAATGTCCTTTGTCTGTCTGATAATTTTAGAGAGCCTATAGTATGAGGAACAGATAATGCTGGAGGAGCTCTGGGCTGCAGTTATAATCTCTAAAAATATAAGCTAAAAAGTGGCCAAACCTTGAAAAACTAGAAATTCTAATATAACCTAAGCAAAACAAAAATTGTGTTTATAACTTACCAAAAATAAATAACAAAAAACAATATTAAAAAACATAAATGAGGCCGGGTGCAGTGGCTCACATCTGTAATCCCAGTACTTTGGGAGGTTGAGGTGGGAGGATCATGAGGTCAAGAGTTGAGACCACCCTGGCCAATATGGTGATACCCTGTCTCTACTAAAAACACAAAAATTAGCCAGGCATGGTGGTGCAGGCCTGTAATCCCAGTACTTGGGAGGCTGAAGCAGGAGAATCACTTGAACCCAGGAAGTGAAGGCTGCAGTGAGCTGACACAGCACCATTGCACTCCAGCCTGGGTGACAGAACGAGACTTTATCTCAAAAAAAAAAAAAAAAAAAAACATAAATGACAAAAATTTAAGTATAGGCATACCTCAAACAGCCCCCGTAATTCAGTTACAAAAGTCCTGCTTGCTCCTTTTTAAAAGTCATTTGATCAATTTAGATATTTATAGAACACTTATATGATCTTAAATAAAGTCACAGAGCCAGTTCAAATGCAGCCATGGCCTTAAAATAGTTTTAAAATAAAGGGGCCAGATACAGTCTCTCTGATACCAAAGTAGAAAATTATCACTGGTCAAGAAAATAAACAGGCCTGCATATAGAAGCTACATATTGGCCGGCCGTGGTGGCTTACTCCTGTAATCCCAGCACTTTGGAAGGCCAAGGTGGGTGGATCACTTGAGATCAGGAGTTCAAGACCAGCAAGGCTAACATGGCAAAACCCCATCTCTAATAAAAATACGAAAATTAGCTAGGCGTAGTGGTACGCATCTGTAGTACCAGCTACTTGGGAAGCTGAGATGGGAAAATCACTTGAACCCATGAGGCAGAGGTTGCAGTGAGCTGAGATTGCACCACTGCACTCCAGCCTGCAATCTATTTGGAAGTAAATTTGGTGGAACTAGGAAAATATTTTAATTGTTTGGTTTTAATTAGATTTAGTTAATAAAAACAAACATCTGCATGCATCTTGGCTAGTTTTCCTAAAAATCGTTACTAACTTTAATACATCTAAATATTTACTGCCTAAGTCTTTGAAACACATCCTGAATAAACAAGAAGTCAGAAGGCCTGGGTTTGGGTCCTGGCTACACTACTTGACGCTGTAGGTCCAGCTGGGTGTGGTGGTTCATGCCCATAATCCCAATACTTTGAGAGGCCAAGGTGGGCGGATCACCTGAGGTCAGGAGTTTAAGACCAGATTGGCCAACATAGTGAAACCCTGTCTCTACTAAAAATACAAAAATTAGCCAGGCATGGCGGCACGTGCCTGTAATCCCAGGTACTTGGGAGGCTGAGGAAGGAAAATCACTTGAACTCGGGAGGCGGAGGGTCGCACTGAACAAGATTACATCACTGCACTCCATCCTGGGAGACAGAACAAGATTCCATCTCAAAAAAAAAAAAAAGAAAAGAAAAAAAGCTGTAGGTCCCTGTTGCCTTCCTGAGCCTCAGTTTCTTCATCTGTAAGATGTGGAAATTAATACCTACTTGCAGGATGTTGTGTGGCTCACATTCTAATTAGTAATTCTAATTTTACCAACCATAAAATATTTAAAAGACACTGATTACATTTTGGCAAAATTCTCAATACATTAAAGTTTAAATTCTTATACACCCTTCCTCTTCCCCTTCTCTCTTCTCTCTCTGGTGGCTTCCTCCATTTCTCTAGTCTGAGCTCCCTCCAGCAAGCGTCTAGCACTAACTGTGCCTTTTGCTTAATGACGACACCCACAATAGGCCTTCACTTAGGATACATGGAATTGCCTCACCCACTTTCTTTCCACATAAAACATGCTTTCCACCCGCTATACAATTTACTGTGTTACCTCTCCATGGATAGTTGAACTTCAACAGAACATCAATGCCCTAACCCAAAGGAATGCCTCTCTAGGAACCGCAGTCTCCGGTGGCAAGCTGCTAGGAAAGGTATTAGTGGTGCAGGGTCTGTCCCTGGGAATTTCCTCTATTCTGCCGATGTGTAAGGCTGTACTGGCTCTGGAACCCTTCATTTCTGTTTGTGATAATAAGAACGTCTCAAGTACACAACATTAATGATAATAAGAACAGATACACCAGAAATGTAATTTCCACAGAACTATTACAATAATATTAAATATGCCATGATTGGAGTCCATGATTCATGGTTTTTCCTTAAAGTAAGCCTAAATTTCTCTCCTCACAAAATAAGTCTGACTTTGCCTTTCGGAACTAAACAGAAGTGTCCAAATTTCAAGCAGAAGACCTGTGGATACCTAAAAGGGGCCGTGCTGTGCCTACCACCACCATTGTGTAGGTTCCCCACTACACCCCCCTTACCTCACCCAACATGTCAGGCTCTCTTACTCTCCGGTTGACATTCTCAACATAGGCGGCACTTTATGTCTCTCTTGAAGCCTGCCTTCCAGAACAGAGTATGCTACTTCAGTGTAGTACACTGTCGAATCATCCTCTCCAGTGAAACTGGAGAATTATGGTAGATAATTTTCTACACAGGGAGGGGTTCTCTTCTTAACTTTCTTTCCTTTCCTACAAATAACCCAAATACTGGCCTGAATCAATTACACATCAAGTCTGATGTGCTATAAATAAAACCTTCCTTCCATTATTCTAGAAAACTCTACAGTGTTCATACATAGTAAAGTCTAATTGTTTCAAAACACTAAATATTTCCCCAAAAGTCTATCAGTCAAGGAGTAGATAAATTATGGTATATATATACCATGGAATAAGACTTAGCCATAAAAGGAATGAAATAATGGCATTGACAGCAACCTGGATAGAACTGGAGACCATTATTCTAAGAGCAGTGACTCAGAAATGGAAAACTAAACATGGTATGTTCTCATTCATAAGTGGGAGCTAAGCCATGAAGAGGATGCAAAGGCATAAGAATGATACAATGGACTTTGGGGACTCTGGGGATATTGTGGGCGGGAGTAACAGAAAGACTACACACTGGGTCCAGTATACGCTGCTAGGGTAACAGGTGAACCAAAATCTCAGAAATCACCACTAAAGAACTTATTCATGTAACCCAAACACCACCTCATCCCCAAAAGCCTATTGAAAAAAACACTGGCGATCATTAAAAAATCTGGAGACAACAGATGCTGGAGAGGATGTGGAGAAAAAGGAACACTTTTACACTGTTGGTGGGAGTGTAAATTAGTTCAACCATTGTGGAAGACAGTGTGGCGATTCCTCAAGGCCTTAGAAATAGAAATTCCATTTGACCCAGCAATCCCATTACTGGGTATATATCCAAAAGACTATAAATCGTTCTACTATAAGGACACATGTACACGAATGTTCATTGCAGCACTGTTTACAATAGCAAAGACCTGGAATCAACCCAAATGCCCATTGATAATAGACTGGATTGGAAAAATGTGGCACATATACACCATGGAATATTATGCAGCAATCAGAAATGATGAGTTCGTGTCGTTTGTAGGGACATGGATGAATCTGGAAAACATCATCCTCAGCAAACTGACACAAGAACAGAAAATGAAACACCGCATATTCTCACTCATAGGCGGGTGATGAAAAATGAGAACACATGGACACAGAAAGGGGAGTACTAAACACTGGGGTCTATTGGGGGGAAAAGGGGAGGGCCAGTGGGAGGGGGAGGTGGGGAGGGATAGCCTGGGGAGAAATGCCAAATGTGGGTGAAGGGGAGAAGAAAAGCAAAGCACACTGCCATGTGTGTACCTACGCAACTGTCTTGCATGCTCTGCTCATGTACCCCAAAACCTATAATCCAATAAAAAATTAAAAAAAAAAAAAAAAAAAGAAAAAAACACTAGATATTTCTAGTCTAGGGCTATAATCACGTTATAATCACAATAACCAAGCAATGTATATGATTGACTCTACCAAGTATTTACTTAACCCTATAATTATATTCAGACAGATGAATAATGTCAAATTTATCACATTGTATTTCATAAGAGTGCTTCCTAATTTCAACAGCTTGTGGCATTTCAAATAGAATCTTCTACTATATTAATCAAGTCTTAAAAATCTTATTGAGAAATTCAAAAGGAACATCCTTCTCATCCAAATTTAAAACCCTACCTTTTCCCCTGCTCCCAAGCCCTAAATCCCTGTAATGCAAAACTTAACTCAATAAAAGCATATGGGCAAATGGTTTATAGTTTACCCTGAGAACATAAGACCATCTTGAATAAATAAAGCTAGAAGACTTTGTAAAAAGAGCAACAGGATCTCAGGATAGAGTCATGGCACAATGGAATGTATGTGGTACCAAGAGGTCAAAAGACACGGTTTTCCAGCAAAATGAGTAAAGATGGCCAGGCATCGTGGCTTATACCTATAAACGCAGCACTTTGGGAGGCTGAGTCAGGTGGATCACCAGAGGTCAGGAGTTCGAGACCAGCCTGGCCAACATGGCAAAACCCCATCTCTACTAAAAATACAAAAATTAGGCTGGCATGGTGGCAGGTGCCTGTAATCCCAGCTACTCGGGAGACTGAGGCAGGGAGAATTGCTTGAACCCAAAAGGCGGAGGTTGAAGTGAGCCAAGATTGTGCCACTGTGCTCCAGCCTGGGTGAAAGAGCAAGACTCTGTCTCAAAAAAAATAAAAATAAAGAGTAAAGACATCATTGAGTTCAAATCTAAAGTCTTCTTGCTCCCCCACAAAAGTGTTATTCTGAACACCATTCATTTTGATCCTGAAACAAACAATATAAGTGACCTACTGGAAGGGAAATAGCCATGGCTAACTCTGAGTCAAAGTTAAAATGACTGAAAGTCAGATGCTAACACTTCAACCCAATTGCAAATAGTTTCCTACAGAGGTGAGCCAATTGGCGTAAGTAAGCAAGCAATCTGATGGTCAACATAAGGTGTATATGGTTCTGAAGTTCTTAGACATTTTGATGTATTAACGAAATAAACTTGCAAAGAATGGAAAGAAACCCCACTGCACTCCAGAAAGGGGATGAAAAATAGGGTTATCAGCCTTTAAAATATTTTTAGCTCACACTTTGTATATTAGTGTTCAAAGTGGGGAAAGAGCCGGACATAGTGGCTCATGCCTGTAATCTCAGTTGCTTTGGGAGGCCGAGGGAGGTGGATCACCTGAGGTCAAGAGTTCGAGACCAGCCTGACCAACATGGTGAAACCCTGTCTCTACTAAAAATACAAAAATTAGCTGGGCGTGATGGCAGGCACCTGTAACCCCAGTTATCTGGGTGGCTGAGGCAGGAGAACTGTTTGAACTTGGGAGACAGAGATTGCAATGAGCCAAGATCACACCACCGCACTCCAGCCTGGGTGAAAGAGTAAGACTCCATCTCGGAAAAAAAATAAAAAGGTGGGAAAAAGGTGGCTTTTAAGCAAAAATTGTTGAAAATGGGGGAAAAAAAATTAGCCAGCTGTGGTGGCACATGCCTGTAATCCCAGCTACTCAGGAGGCTGAGGCTGAAGAATTGCTTGAACCCAGGAGGCAGAGGTTGCAGTGAGATTGTGCCTCTGCACTCCAGCCTGGGCAACAGAGCGAGACTCCAACCTGGGCAACAGAGCAAGACTACATCTCAATAAAAAAGAAAAAAAAAAAAAGAAGAAGAAATATTACAAATGAGTCAATTCGATTATTCAGTTTGTTCATCTGATGACATACGCAGCAAATTTTAAAGACGTAGGATAGTCTCTCCTTGTTATGGAAGCTGGCCAAACCCTGCTCTGCCTACTACTCTATCTATGCATGCTGAGGGAATGTGAATTAATTTTATCTTAAGTTAGAAAAAAAAAAAAAGCTAAGTTGTCTGCAGTCCCCAAAACGATGCATCAAAAACCAAACTGTTTTATTTATGATCTAGCTATGAAATGGTTTGGTTCTCTTTAGCATACTAATAAACAAGGACTACATTTCCATCTTGCAGGGGGAAAAAAACCCTGCAGATCTCTGAATTCCGAGACGTTTTCTATTTCTTATTTTTGATAAAAGGAGCCTTCGTAATACCAGGTGTATATTATCCTATACACAAATAAGCATTACCTACATTTAAGTAGCATACTATTTTTTTCCTAGTGCTGTATATTTATCCCAGTGGAGACGGAAATAAAAGGGTGGGTTCCAAATCAAAACCATTCTGAAAAGCTAAATTTGGACTACAGACATTGTCATTCCAGAGTCAAGAGAAATCAAAAAGAAACAAAGTCTGGTTGTCAGTGAAACATCAGAGTACCTTGAGCATTAAGTAGCACTTCCTCCTTTTCAAAACAATTCATGTACAAAGAATTACTTCTTTTACTTACATTGAGTCTTCTGGGTGGAGGCGGTTCAGGATTGCAGAGTACATTTGAACAGGGTGGGCATTTGGTTTCATCTATTACCATGAAGGTATCATAGACACCATCCCCCAACCTAATTGAAAGGATTGCAGATAAAATCTGTCAGTAACTGAAGAATACAAATTTGTCTTTCCGAAACATCCTGTGTCTTAACTGCTTCATATCTGCTACAAGGAACAATAATAGAAATAAATGTCTACACTACATTTTGGCATTGAATACAAACAACCGGGGTATTTGGCAGAGGAACTGAGGAAATCCAACTTTTGTTTTTTAAGGACAACATTTCTAGGTTTGTATTTTAAAATAGTTAAGACAAGTTTTTCTGAATGTTGTTAAAAACAATAAGCACACAGAAGGATCTCATAATAATGTACTACTTGAAAATAAAGGCTAGTTTGAATCTGAAGCTCATAGAGAAAAAAACAGACCAGAAAAAAACTAACACAGGTAATCGTTTTTCAAAGTCAGTGACTTGGATTCTAATCTCAGCTCTAACACTGGCTGTGCTACCTTCTCCTCTGAGTCTGTCTTCCCCATGTTAATGGGAAGACTAGCTTCGGTCTACACACTTCTGGGTCTTACAGGCAAGAAATAAAAAGCCCTTTTCTGCCTGTCTTCTCTTTATTCATTTACTTACTTATCTATTTACGTCTACCTAACTTGTAGAAAAATACAGTAAGTACTACAGCAAACACGAAAAGGATGCTCTAAATCATAAAATGTATTGAATTTACTTCTCTTTCTACTTCATTCTCTGGTGGATGGTGGAGGCAAAATTCTAAATGATTAAGGACCACTTCTCTGTTCTTTAACACTGTGGCTCCACCACTGTAAGGGAACACAAAAGACAGAGAGGATTTATTTAATCCACAAGATGGCCCTGAATAACGTATTTCATCTGCTACCAAGAACACGGATTTCCCAGTTACATCAGCATTTCATTGTATCATTTGACATGATACACTATGAATATAACAATGACGATGTTGCAGAGGAATAATTTTTTAATGTCTTTTAAAATATCCTGGAATATCTTAGTCACCTTTAAAAGCTGTTTTGTGAAATTCGTTCTAGAGTTTTCTTTATAGATGTGTTATAAAAATACAAAAGGAAAAAATCGCTACAAATAATTTTGGAACGCTCTTTTAAAAAACATGCTCGCATTCTGACAGACTATATCTATATTTTTAACAGGGAACTGCTTCACCGACAGAAACCAAATATTCTGGATGTGACTGACCCTTTGCCATAAGCCTGATAAAACAAAGCAGGACAGGTGTCCACATTTATAAAGAAAAAGAAAATCTGCACGATTGCCTAGTGACTAACAGCCTGAGGAAATTAAAGAGTCTGTGTGCAAATAAAGCGGATAGCAGAGGTCTCTTCTCTCCATTTAGGTGTAAAATACAACGCCAGGTGGGGAATCTCTCAAAATAGGATCTGGAGAAAGCTGTACCCAGCACAGATCATAAACTGCACATCCGAAGCCAGACCGCACCCCTCACAGCAAAGCCCCAAGAGTTCAGCTCTCGGTTATCCGCTCTAAGCAACAGGGCTTCTTTCCAAGGTATTGCTCCCGGGCTCTACCGGTTTGCTAAAAAGCCCCACAAAAAGTCCTAGATTTTCGGAGCTCCTTACCATGATCCGCGATCTAGGGTTTCAGAGGTAATCCAGGGGTGGAAATTCTTCTTGCTCTAACTCTGCTCTAGCCCCCTCTCCCGCACCCAGTGAGTCGGAGGTGGCGGGGTAGGCCCTGATGGAGACGAGATGGGGGTGGTCCTGGGGAGTTAGTCAGACCTATGCCCTAGTCCCTTCTGCTAAGGGCTCACTCTACCTCCTCTCCGTCCCCAAGCTTCGCCTGCCAGCGCCAGCCGCTCTCTGTGGCGCCCCCAGCCCCTCATCCCGCGGCGCCGTTACCTCCGCTGCTGGGGCGGGAGCCCGGCCCCAGGCGGCCCCGCATCCTTCCGCCCAGGCCCGCGAGCTGTGCCTCCCATCTGCTAGTTCGGGACCCCGCGCGGGAGGGGCGCCAGTTGAAGAGTCCGGCCGGCCACGCCACCTACGCCGGGACGGCTGCCTCAGCGGCGCGACGGTCCCACGGGGACTGTCGGCCAGACACTGCAGCTCCGCGAGCCTTCGATCCCGACTGGCCGGGGCTGCGTAGTGGGGAGACGCAGCTGCAGGGGCGGGAGGGGGAAACGGTCTGGTCGCCTAGCAACTGCGGCAAGCCCCGAGAAACGCCTTGGCGCGGCTACGCGCTGACGCACGGGGGCGGGGCCCGTGGCCGGTGTAGGCCACGTGGGGTTCTAGCCGGAGCTAGCCCTGGCGCTGGAGGCGGGAGGCTAGGAGCCCGCGGCCTAAGCGGCTCGGATTCCCTGGCGGGAGCTGCGCACTGAGAATGGGGTCCGGCGGAGGAGGGGTGAAAGTAACAACCCGCGATTTCTGTCTCAGAAGGGCTGCCAGCCCCTTACGGTCCGCGGTCCCTTAAGTAGCACGTTGCGTCCTGGAAGTTCTAAAACCTCCGGCTTCAAGATGAATTTTAAATGAATGAAAACATGTGTATTATTTTAGGCTTTCCCACCGCGGGACGGCCCTCCGAGGGTTGGTGAATTACAGGAGAAAGCGCTGATAATAAACCCGTTTATTGACACTGCCTCCGATTATGAGCATTTGATCTCAGTAACCGTACCAGACGACTTTCGTCTTTTAGACTTAGCTGGGATCCAGAATAGAAGCTGGGCTTTGATTCCCCTACAACAGTCAGCCACAGACGGGAGGGCAGTAAACATGACCGTGAAGCGGCAAAACCTGGACTAGAAGCTTCTAACGCCTAACCGCCCTCCTGCCACATCTGGACCCCTGGCAGGCCCCTCCTGTCTTTTTCCTTAGAATCTGTGTATGTGTCTTTTTCCTTTTCTGATGCTAAGACACCTCAGAAACACCAATGTTAAGCAGATTTCCATCGTTGGAGGTTAAAACACCCGAACCCAAGTGTTTTCTTGTGGCATCCAGTCAAATGTTTTATAGGTTTGTTTGTTTGTTTTAAAAAATTTCCTAGAAGATGGGTAGTAAAAACCAGTCCGAGCTAGTAAATCTACCAAGCACGAGGCGGTCGGACCGTCCAGATTCCGGAGTCCAGAAGACTGCAAACGTTCTCGAAATGCCGAACACGGGCGCCACCTGCTGGGACTAGGACGCTCATTGTCCCAAATCAGCTTAGCACAGTTCCCATAAATCTTAAAAATTCCCATCCAAGGCTCATTTCCGTGTGACCGAAAGTCATATCTCTGTTCTCATGACTCCAAGTAAAAATGTCCGTAAAGAATCAAAGTCTCTTCACGCTATAAATTAAAAATCTATTGGTTTGGGAAATTTTATTTTTCGTGATCAATATTAACTTTAGCCTCCCTATGATATACATATAAATATAAAAGTTTTCTTCCATGATGATTTTTTAAAGTTTTCTAATTTTATAAATAATTTTTTGTTTCCCCCTCCCCCCACTCTGCAACCAGAGCAATTCTGCTTTCATAGGGGTTTATATTTGTGCTCATATGAAGCTTTTGTTTGAAGAAAGAGTTCCATGGCAACACAGAGACTGGATGAGGTGGCTGTTGAAGTCCCTCCCAGCTCTAAGATTGCAAAATTCTATTAAATTATCCCCATTCTCAGTACTTATGTGGACACCTCAGACCACTTTACTGCCCTCCCTAAACAGTTAGATGAGACACCCCCACCTGATTTCTTACCTCATTCTGAATCACTGCTTATGAGAGAATTGCATCCGCAGTTTGTGTTTAAGACACATCTTCCAGAGTCAAGTGGAAGCATTCCTGCTCCCCTTCTTGTTCCTAAGGTGGGAAATACAGAGGCCTCCATTATCGTTAGCCTGTTGTTCCCATGGTCAAGGGAAAGAGGACTGTTTGAGGGTGCTGGAGCTTCATAAATCTCTGACCTTAGTGACCCAGTGTTTCTTCAAAGAGCTTCCTAAGGTGGGAAATACAGAGGCCTCCATTATCGTTAGCCTGTTGTTCCCATGGTCAAGGGAAAGAGGACTGTTTGAGGGTGCTGGAGCTTCATAAATCTCTGACCTTAGTGACCCAGTGTTTCTTCAAAGAGCCCCTGTGTGGTAGGGTTAATGTCCCATAAGGTATCTGGCAGGAGCCTCCACACCACATGAGCTGCCCTGTCCCCTCCAGCTCCCTAGCAGCTTCCACATCATTCATGCCCTTTCTTTCCCTCCAAAGCCTCATTCAGGAGTAGTTTAAAGTCACTACTATCGTCCTCCATGCAGTTAAAGTCAGATTTACCCACCATGAATTAGCCAAAAGTCATATAAGATGCGTGTCTGTCCTTTCAAGCCAATTCTAAGAAATCTGAAAAGTAAGGTATCTGCCAGTTCTAATACATTGACAAAGTGAGGAAATAAACAACCACAAAAAAGATCCAACTATTCCAGGATCTTAAAACCCACTGAGACATTCACAATGTGACCACAGTTTCAAATGCACAGATGAAGAAAACATCCCTGTGGCCACATTTACCTGGAATTTTATGATAAAATAGCTGTTGGTAGGTTATGCTAAGTTTGAACGAGTTTCGCTGGTATACATTTCTATACAGCAAAATGTGCCATAATGTGTACTGTGACATGTGCATCACAAAATTGGAAAAAATATTTAAAAATCATCTGGAGAGAACCAGTGAAACTTACTCTTTCCTCTAAGCTATATTAACCTCAATTTCACCTGTTCTCCTGAACATAAACTTGCTGTCTTTTTCAGAAACACTGCAAACTAGCTCACTGGAACACTAAAGCCGTGGCTTATTTTTCTGGAGCCTCAGAAAACTACTCTCTTCTGCATTTCAGGCATCTCCTGTTCTTACGCCCTCCCCTCTCCACCAAGATCTGAAATATACCCCTTATTAACAAAGCAAACAAAAGCCGGGCCCGCAGTACTGTATTGCAGTACTGCCTCTTTCCACTACTATATATGCTTAGTTCTGTGACTCCTAAACCCGGAAGGTTGTCCTTATTATCCCAAACCCCTCACATATTTTATTTTCCAAAACTTTTTACCATCTTGTTCTGCTTGCTCCTCCTAAGTCAGAGTGACCAGTTCCACTTACGGCCCTGAGGAGTCCTATGAAGGTTCATTTCTAAAATCTTTTTTCTTTTTTTTTTTTTTGAGATGAAGTTTTGCTTTTGTTGCCCAGGCTGGAGTGTAATGGTGCAATCTTGGCTCACTGCAACCTCTGCCTCCCGGGTTCAAGCGATTCTCTTGCCTCAGCCTTTCAAATAGTTGGGATCACAGGCATGAGCCATCATGCCTGGCTTATGTTGTATTTCTAGGAGAGATGGGGTTTCTCCATGTTGGCCAGGGTAGTCTCGAACTCCTGACCTCAGGTGATCCACCGGCCTCGGCCTCCCAAAGTGCTGGGATTACAGGTGTAAGCCACTGTGCCCGGCTCATTTCTGAAATCTTCAAACCAAACCAGGACTCTTTGTAATCATCATTTGCTTTTATTATGTTCCAAGCACCATCTGAAGCACTTTAATATATTTGCTCATATAAAACGTGAGATAGGTATTATCTCCATCCTACACTCCAGAAAACAGTCTCAGACATTAATAACTTGCCCAAGGTCACCCAGCCACTAAATAATGAACCAAAATTCAAACCCTGGTCTGTTTGAAAAACCCAGCCTCTTGACTGCCTGTATTCCATCTGTATTCCCTGAGCCTCGCAGGCTAGCCCAGGCTAGACCACTGGACCCTTTGAATTCTGTGACATAGTTTCGCTTGATTTAAGATTCTGAAGGTGGTAAGCAGAATAATAGTTTCCCAAAGATGTCTGCATCTTTGTTTTTTTTTTTTTTTTTTTTTTTGAGACAGAGTCTAGTTCTGTTGCCAGGCACCAGGCTGGAGTGCAGTGGTGCAATCTGGGCTCACTGCAACCTCCGTCTCCCGGGTTCAAGCAATTCTCCTACCTCAGCCTCCCAAGTAGCTGGGACTACAGGCACACGCCACCATGCCCAGCTAATTTTTGTATTTTTTTAGTAGGGATGGGGTTTCACCACGTTGGCCAGGATGGTCTTGATCTCTTGACCTCATGATCCGCCCGCCTCGGCCTCCCAAAGTGCTGGGATTACAGGCGTGAGCTGCATCTTAATTCTAAGAATCTGTAAATATGTCACTTTGCTTGACAAAAAGGGACTTAACAAATGTGATTAAATTAAGGCTCTTGGGGAGATTTTCCAAGATTATCTGAGTGGGCCCACTGTAATCACAGGGGTCCTTTCAAAATGGAAGGGGAGGCCAGATGCGATGGTTTACACCTGTAATCCCAGCACTTTGGGAGGCCGAGGCTGGCAGATCCCCTGAGATCAGGAGTTCGAGACCACCCTGGACAACATGGTGAAACCCTGCCTCTACTGAAAATACAAAAGTTAGCTGGGCGTGGTGGTGTGTGCCTGTAGTCCTAGCTACTCTGGAGGCTGAGGCAGGAGAATCACTTGAACCCAGAAGACAGAGGTTGCAGTGATCCGAGATCACGCCACTGCACTCCAGCTTGGGTGACAGAGTGAGATTCCATCTGAAAAAAAAAAAATGGAAGGGGAAAGCAGGAGGGTCAGAGAGGAAAATGTGACTGTGGAAGCAGAGGTCAGAGAGAGTGATTTGAAGATGCTGTTGTTGGTCTTGAAGATGGAGGAGGGGACCATGAGTTAAAGAATGAAGGTGGCCTCTAGAAGCTGGGAAAGGCAGGGAAACAATTTTCCTCTAGAGTTTCCACCTTAATTTAAGACTTCTGACTTCCAGAACTATAAGATAATAAATTTGCCTTGTTTCAAGCCAGTAAATTTGTAGTACTTTGTTGCATTAAAGCTTAGGAACCTTGGGTACTGTAATAAAT